CCTCTCCCTCTCCCTCTCCCTCTCCCTCTCCCTCTCCCTGTCCCCCCCTCTCATTCCTCGATGGACAGAGGGTTGTAATTTTAATGGTCCTATCTTTAATTAGCACATTGTTTTCCTTGGCTAAGTAATTTCTCAATAGGACCAAGTCATGAAGATTCCAATGGCAGATGCTAGGAGTTTTATTATTTAATAAGTATATTTAGATCTAACATCGACCTCAAAATTGTTATGTATGATCTGAGATAAGGGATGGTGCAATGGTTTAGATATGGTTTGCCTTCAACAAAACACATGTTGAAATCAAATCCCTAAAGTATCGATGTTGGGAAGTGCTGACACCTTTAAGGGACATGAATGTTTTCTTGGAGAAGTGGAGTTTCCTTCTGGTGACATGGGATTGGCTACTGTGCAAATCGGTCTTGTGTGGCCTTTCTTCCACAGTCCCCCTGTCATTGTGCAATGAGGTCCCCGTCAGAAGCCAAGCTAGTGTTCCTGCTCCTATTCCTAAATGTCTGTTAGTTTTCCATTGCTGTGATAAAGCACCATGGCTGAGGCAACTTAGAGGAGGAAGGGTATGCTTTGGGTACATAGTTCCAGGGAGATAAGAGTCCATCACCATCCCAGTGGGGAGGGGCAGCGGCAAACCAGCGTCGCAGATGGAGCAGAAAGTTGAGACCCGAAGGTTCACATTTCAAACCACAAACAAAAATCAAAGAGCAAGCTCGAAATGGTGCAAGTCTTTAAGCTCTCCAACCCCACCCCAAGTGACATGCTTCCTCCAACAAGGCTTTACATCCTGAATCTCCTCAAACAAGGTCACCAACTGAGGACCAAGCATTCAAGTACCCAAGAACATGGGGGACATCTCATTCAAAGCACTACATTTCACGCTCACAGTCATGTGGTTATATCGTAATGCAAAATGCATTTAGTTCAGCTTCCAAAGTCCCCATAGACTTAGACAATCTCAGCACTCTTTGAAAGCCCAAAGTCTCTTCTGAGACTCAAAGCGATTTCTTCACTGTACCTCCTGTAAAGTCAAAAGGCAAGCCACAAACTTCCAACATACAAGATTGTAATGGGTAGTCATTCCAGCTTTGATCTGGAAGTTCCAACCCCCATTGAGGTTTCAGTAACTGTCATGCCTACAAGGTAGGGCCGAGAGAGGACCCTGAAGACCCAAGATCCTGATGTGCCGGCTCTCTTGGTTCCTGGACCCTGGACACTGGAGGTAGACCGAGCAGAGTTCTCCAGAGAACACCACCGGACTGCGTTACACCTTTCCCAGACCCTGTTACCTATCCCTTCATTTGTGAGTTACCCCACAAAATAAACCTCCCTTTTAGCTACATGGAGTTGCCTTAATAATTTCACCAAATCTGGCACCCAACATGGGGCAATTTGTTCATGATGTCCAGGTCTGGAGGGTTGAACCCCAGCACAGTGGCAGGCAGATTGACCCAGAGCAGCTGGGCAGGAATCAAAGCCTCAGGAAAACCAAGGGCCGCCATCAGGAAAATACAGACCACTTCCCCCACGTTGGACGAGATGAGGTATCGGATGAACTACTTCATGTTGTTGTAGATGGCTTGACCCTCCTCAACGGCAGCCACGATGGTGGAGAAGTTGTCATCTGCCAGGACCATCTCAGAGGCAGTCTTGGCCACTGCAGTACCTGAACCCATAGCAATGCCAATTTCATATTTCTTCAGAGCAGGGGCATCATTCACACCATCACCAGTCATAGCTGTGATCTATGGTGATATTTTATTTGCACTGAAATGTGATTTTAATTTTATATTAATAAATAAAGTTGCCCTGGGGTCAGAGCTATTAGAGCCATAGTAAGAGCGTGGTGGTTAGAAGAGCTAGGTAGATTTCTGTGTGTTCAGGGATACAGCCAGTATTGGAGACATATGCCTTTAAGACCT